GAGGGTTCCCCTTTCTCTGCATCCCCGCCAACATCTGTCGTTTCCTGACTTGTTAATTTTTAGCCATTCTGACTGGTGTGAGGTGGTATCTCATTGTAAATCTTACTATTTTTTTTAAAGATTTTATTTATTTATTTATTTGAGAGAGAGAGAGAATGAGAGATAGAAAGCACGAGGGGGAAGAGGGTCAGAGGGAGAAGCAGACTCCCTGCTGAGCAGGAAGCCCGATGTGGGACTTGATCCCAGGACTCCAGGATCATGACCTGAGCCGAAGGCAGTCACTTAACCAACTGAGCCACCCAGGCACCCAAATCTTATTATTTTTTAAAAAAGAATTCTCTACTGACTTTCTCAATGGTCAAACAAATGGGCCTCTTGCCCTCAGAAACTGCTATAGTAACAAGGAAATGAGTAGGACAATTTAGCTGATCCAGGAAACTGTTGTTGCTGAGTGAAATTCACACAGGATATTCTCATAAGACTGACTGGACCCCTTTGCTTCTCTCTTAGTGATGCCCAACTGCCTCATGCTATTTTTTTTTCTAAAAATACATTTTCCCCTGCCATTCTGTGCACTGAAATACTAGCCACTAGCCATATATGGCTACTTAAATTTAAGTTAATTTAATTAAATTAGAATAAATTCCTCAGTTATGCTAGTTTTATTTTAAGTGTTTGATAGCCACCTGTAGATAGTGGCTACTGCACTGGACAAAGCAGATCTAGAATATTTCATCATCATGGAAAGTTTTGTTTTTTTTTTTTTTGAGCGTTGTGAATTGTGTAAGACTGATGAATCACAGACCTGTACCTCTGAAACAAATAATACATTATATGTTAAAAAAAATCATCATGGAAAGTTCTATTGGTCCTGTTGCATATGGTAGTTGGGAGCAATGTGAATGACATGTTATTCATGGTAAGTGGGAGTATCAGCTATGAACCCATGAAAAAAGGGAAGTCCCAGAGCAAATGTTGGCAATGGTTTTCTGAAAACTATCCTTGAGAAGAAAGTTGGTCAATAGACTTTGAGTGATTTAATCTCATTGGAAAGTCTTTCTCCACTGAGAAGGTGAAGTGTTCTCTTTGCCTTGTTCCTTAACTATCCAATTCTAATTGCTTATCCTGATTATATTCTGGATGCCACTTATTACCTATGGAACCTTACGCATATTATTGAACATCTTTAAATCTCCACTTTCTCACCAGTAAAAGGGAAATAATAAGGGTATGTACCTCATAGGATGTTGTGAGAATTAATATCAATGGCAGATAGTTATGGAGCACTTATGATGTGCCAGGCATTCTTCTGAGAACTTGATTAAATAAAGCAAGTCACTTGCATAAAGTTGAGGCATTTGCCTAAGACCTCATACCCATAAGTGACAGAGATGAACTTGAATGCAGGAAGTCTGCTAACAAATCTAAAATGTGTTTAAGCATGATATCCGTCATGTAGAAAGCACCCAAGAAATAGTAGCTGTTACCATTATCACAATTTTTTTTATTCCTGAAGATGTATAAGTTTGCAACCTGATTTTATAGTCAACCTTTCTCAGCTTAGTTATTCTGAACATCCTTGAGATCTGTTTCTTAGCCTGCAAGGTTGAGAGCAAGGCCCTGGATGGCAATGGAGTTGCCCACCAGCCCACAAGTGCCCATCACTTATCTATAATTCTTCATCACCCTCCATGCTTTTTCCAAACTATTCATGCCTTATCAAAAGAAGTAGTAGTCCATTTTGCCATAAAGAAGGTCTCTGTTGGTAGTTCTCTACATCCTACCATTTCTTAACTCCACTAACAAGGGTTACCAGATCTGAGATTCCTGGGAGAGCAAAAACCAAGCCATAGTGAATTAATAAGAATCTTAGATATTGCATAAATCTGTGGAAAAGATGTGGGTCAGAAACAATACTTAAATTATGCTAAAACAAAGTTCCAGTTTTGTCTGAGCCAATGGTATCTTTCCATCTTCTGGAAACTTTCGGCTGTGATTTACCCATTAGATCAGAACTACCTTCACTTGAGTTAAACCCAGTCAGATAAACCCAGTCAATTCAGATACCTGAAGTCAAATTCAGAAATATTCCACAAAACTGCATCTCAAGACCTTGAATTTTAAAACATCTGGCTGATTCTGTAACATCTGAAAGATTCTTTTAATTTAAGCAAAAGACATAAGCAAGAATTTGATTCCAAAGTAAGTATCTTCTAATAAAAATAAAGCTTTACTCAGAGAAAACAGGCATAAGCAGCTGAGAGAAGCACAAAGTAATGAAAAATAGCTAAAGGAAAGGGATTATGGGAGAGAGGCCTCCTGCCACTTGCTGGGCCTCATTCAGAATGGGTCTTTGGAAAGACTATTAGATATCCTGAAAAAATTAATATAAAAACA